AGCATTGCCATTGCGTTTCGGATTCAAAGTTTGTATTGTGGTCGAATCTAGGAGCTCTTGTGGAAGCCCAGGTTGCAGCAGCAAGCGCTGAGAATCCAAGAGGACACGCACGGTGCGGAAGGCGAAGCGGAGCAGGCGCCCTGCTGTTACAGCTAAGCCAAGCAGAGCAAGCCACGATGCTGCAGGTGTTGCGTGCTCGTTTCGAGCAAGTAGCCATGGATCTCCAGGAGCAGAAGAACTCGAAGACTTGAGAGTTCGAAAGCTCAATTTTGAAAGACATGGAAGGTTTGAAAGGTGCAAGAGTTCGAAATTTGGTCTCCTTGGTCTGCGCAAGCGAGCGGGCGTCAGACTTCAAACTTTTCTTCAAGTTCGACAATTTCAAACGTTTTTGCCTCTCCATCTTTCGAGCTCGACTAGCTGCTTCGAAGTCAAACTTCAGACTTTGGCCACGGCCGAAGGAGCTGAATGGGCGTCAGCGACGGCAGGCTGCAGCATGCAACTGCAGGGCTTGCTTGGAGGCTGACATGTTGGGTGGAATTGCAGGAGATGGTCAGCTGGCGACATCGCGGCAACCTCAGCATCCTTGGGCCACACCGTGCCAAAGCACTATGTAATGCGGAAGAGGTTTCTGCTTCTCCGGCGGTTGCCGCCTAGGCGTTCGGCGGCACGTGATCTCCTGGCCGGCACAGACAGCACTGGACATGGAGGACTCTACAGTAGGGCCACCAGGGCTGCCGACGTCCTTTTTGCCATCCTGATAGGTTTTCCTAAGAGTCGGAGGATCACCTTAGCCGGGCGCACGACCTCTTCACTTTCTGGTTCTTCGAGGCAAGTTTCATGCCTCTCGTCTTTCGCAGACGCACAGCTTCGTCCAGATGCGCGAACGCATCAAGACGTTGCTGGACTCCAAAGTCTCCCAGAAGCCTGTCTCGCTGCCGCCCATTTACGAGGCTCCTTTTATTGTACTGAGAGCTTCGCTTCGCTGTGGACGGTTCATCAGATGGGCAGGACTAGTCCATCGGATGTCCATCGAAGGGCTAGACGGGCATCAGACGACGGGCGATGAGTGAACACAGGGCGAGAAAGCTTCCAGGAATCCTTAACACAGTGAGTAGTACTGCGTTCGAAACATAAGGTTTGTGACATGTGATGTTTTGCACTTAATTCGAATCGTGCACAATGGACTTGTGCGTCACGGCTGCGAGCAATCTCAGCTGCGACGATCTGCAACGAATACATACCAATCAAAGCAGGTAAAAAAAAGTTAGACCAATGGCGTGACCAATGTGAGAGCACGAATTCGGCATCATGTCGTCAAATGGTACAGCTCTTGCCGGCCGTGCTCGACCTTTTCAGCATGTTTGCGGCACAAGTTGCGTCAGTTCACGGAAAGGGGACAGGACATTCTCAACTATAAAGAATGAGAGCTCCCGGTCCAGCATTGGCCGATTCGGCAACTCGACTTGAGATGGCTTGCCTCGATGGCATCGCAGACCGGCCCTCAGATGATTGTCGCTCGGGTTTGTCTCAAGAGCTGGCAAAAACCCAGCAAAGTGCAGTGCCGAGGAGCGACTTCGAGTTCGCCCAGCAGCTTGGCCGAGGAAGCTTCGGAGCCCAACCGCCCCGTTTCTCCGGCACGCGTGTCCATTGATGGCACTGACGTGGCTGCGCCTTTCTGCTCCTGGCAGGTGGTTTTCAAAGTGCGGAGAAAAAGCGACGGGCTCACCTGCGCGGGGCATCCAGAATCCAAGTTGGGAAGATCTGTCGCCGTGAATGTGCGTAACTTGAAAGCCAGATGGCCGCACCAAAGGTCTGCAAGCAGATTCAGTTGAGCAACTGCAAGCAGCGAGCGCGCGATGAAGCCAACAAGGAGGCCTCCTCAAAAAGAGCCGTCTCGTACGTTACCAGACCTGTTGTTGGGGGCCACCGATCAGCTCAACTTCTTCCCGGCTTCAGGTAAATCTCCTCAGACGAGTCTCGCATGGTTGCAACTACATCGTCCAGTATTTGGGATCTTTTTTAGTACCGCGGCGAAGTTTTTGTGATATGCTGAAGCGATCAAGCTGATATAATTTTGCGTGTTTTCAGGAAGGTGAGGCCTTGCACATCCTGATGGAGTACTGCGAGAGAGGCTTGCGCTGATGACGTGACCAATGCGTAGTTTTAGCTGCACGGCTACAGGAGACTTGTGTCAGTTCCTCAAGACTCGCGACCAGAGCCTGGAGGACGCTTCTGTGCCCTATGCTGCTGCTGTTTGTCATGTATCATTAAGATCACACGAAACAGTCTGTGCTCATCAGAGCTGAAGCTTGCCAAGCTGCTGGTGTTCAGGGGACTTAGTTCTCCCACATTCTCGCAAGCTGAGAGCGAGAGAGGCAAAGCCCTGTGCCTGGGTAGGAGAGAGCGATCTGGAAGTACTTGTTGCAGATTGGCCTCGGATTGCGATGGCTTCACCAGAACAGGACATGTCTGCACCTGCAAGGGGTAGTGCACCAGACCGGACAGTGTGGGCGTCGACGTTCTCGGTGCCAACATGGCACAGGATTCTACACCGTGACATCAAGGCAGGTCGACCAAGTGAGGCTGTTGGCCACGATTTCGTCCTGAGACCATGAACGTGTTCCTGAAGACCAACGATGATGTGCGATTGGGTGATCTTGGCGTGGCCAGCTCAGGCCTGACATGCAGCTCGAGCTACAGGGCTGTGAAAGCAATCGTATGCAGCTCGTGCCCATGCAAAGCAAGTTCACAGTCTTAGCTTTGTCGGTTGAAATGCACTATATGCGGGCTGGCAGCCCGTGAGAAGTACCCGCAAAAGCTTTGAAGCGGCGATGATGTGGAGATTAGGATATCACTGGCCCATGTGTCCGGCCCAGCCTAGCTGCAGCATGAAAGAACCTTTCATTTCTATCTTCGATCCTGTCGGCAAACGTGAGCTGATGCATAGACCCTGGAACCTCTCCCACTGCGTGCATAACCGGGTTCTAGGGGTGTCGCTGATGAAGCGACCATGTGCCCCAAATCTTGGACACACGCATTTCTACGCTTGGTCCTTGCTTGCCGAACAAGCAGAAAGCCCTGCACAACAAAGGAACTCGTGCGAGAAACGAAAGATTGACTGAACGAGTTATCACATCGTGTTTCTCTTCCGACCCACGGGCCCAACGGGACCAGGCCCACAGACGCTTGAGGCCATGGATGCTTGTATGTGTGCAGGTGTATGTGTGTGTGTGTGTGCATATAGGTGTATGTGTGTTTATGTTTGTGCGCACGCGTGCATACATGTATGCACATGTGTACGAGCGTACGTAGGCACGCACATATGTAGGTCTTCATTATGTAGGTAGGATGCATGTGCAGGTATGTTTGTTTGTACGTACGTAGGTATGTAAGTTAAAAAACTGAGTCTATCCCGGGCCCAGTAACAGTTGGAAAATACCCCTGCTAATCTTTTTTTTGTTTTCACTGGCTGGGGCTATCTGTTTGGGCCTCCATCACTCGCAAGCCGACCTCATGCTACCATCTGGGACCCATTCCTTTTGCTCTGCCCTTTCTGCCACCCTGTCTCCCCACTTGTTTTCGATTGCCCTTTTCCAGTCACCATTCCCAGCCAAACTCCCATGACCGATGGCGTCATCACCGCGGCCACCATCACGGCACCAGGACCACAAGGGCCAGCAACTGCAGCCAGCTTCTTCCTGGATGTGGGTGAGCTTGGTTTTCATGAGCTGAACTGGGCTGATGTTCTGGCGGCCGCTTCGGCGACTAGGGTTGTCATGCGTGCTGCCTTTAGGCTGTCGCCGCAGCGCTTGGGAATGTTGGCTGCTACTTTGCGTCGGTGGACCGGATGGGCGGCAGATCGTGAGGTAGCTGCTGGCAATCCGAGCCCCGCATCTTTGGCGGCTTTCCTGAAAGAAGTGAGCCAGGGCGGCCCGACAGCAGCATCGGTGTTCCAGGCTTTTGCATGGACAAACTCGAATCCGGGCGCTACGTGACCACTGCACGACTTCATGGTACAGCTTTTTCTGTTTCATGCACAGGGCCACTGCACTCAGCAAGCGGTGGAGTTGCAGCCTTGGGAGTTTGTCAATATGGTGCATTTGGCGTTCTCATTTGCGGGTTCGCCCCGGCTTGTCCTCAGCTTTCTCATTCAGTCTGCTTTCACGTGCATACGGTTTGCGTTGGCTGCGGATCATGCTTCATGCTTGGAGTTCGACTGTGCTGAGGGCAAGAGCAAGTCGCAGGGAGTGTGGCCACTGTACAGGTGGGTTTCGCCTGGCCTGTGTTTGGGTGGCTTCGATCTGTTGAGCCACCTCCGTAAGTTTTACTCTGAGATCTTGCTACCTGACAGTGTTTTTGCTGTGGCCGGCTTTCGAGTTGCAAGCTTCAGAACTTTGGCAGGTGACTGAGACTACGCGTGGTTTGTTGCTGCACGAGAAGATGGGATGGGCCGACAGTTTTCCAGGAGTTGCTTCATGGGACATTGCAACGTTGTGGCGTGGGTTCGGAATCAGCCTGCGCTGCGACCTACAACAGGCTCAGGCGCTTCCTGCCAACGGGGGCTAAGGTTCTGGGTGTGGAGAGCGCAAACATGAGCGCCAGACGGCTGACTTGATGCCAGTTCGTTATTCGGGCCAGCGAGTGCTGAGCAGTGTCAAAGTAAAGGAGAGAGTCGTGCAAGCCGTCCTTCAACATCCCGTGGCTCGTGCTTGTGAGGAACGCTTTTTAGCACCGCACTCGCTGATTTCACCACCGTATTGCTGATGTCCCTGCCCTGGCTCAGTTGCCGGGCAAGCAGGGCAAGCAGTGTGACTCATCTTCATATTGGAGCTCCAGCTCCTCTTCGTCGTCGTCGGGCTCAAGTGAAGGTGAAGCTGAGACTGTGTAGCCGGATGTACAGTTTTTGGCAGCAGTTGCTTGGTTTGTGCACAGTGCCCGCCTGTGGGGGGACGAATATCGTATCGGGGTTCTCATCCTGCTTCGCGTTCCGTGACACACTGGCCCAAAGACTGGTGGCCATGTTTGCTTGGCTGACATTAGCCACCAGCTCGATCCTCGTGCTGCGCGGAGGCGGGACGCAGTGTGAAGCATTGCCTACAGCCCGTTCCCTACTATACCTAAATAAGACTTGCCCACCAGCCATGGGAAGTAAGATGAAGTAAGATAATCATGCTAAGTATGCCCACAGCCCGCTCCCTACAAATCCTAACAACCTACTGACCCAGGTAGTCTAACAAACGGAAGCCTTAAATCTATTCATGCCAAGTGAATTTGCGCACAAACCCGCAAACGCTCAAATGTGCATATAGAAAGACTAGTTTCGGCTCTTGCGCAACCACGATTTTTTCCAAGAAGTCGTACAAAAATCCAAGGAACAACAACCCTTGAAAGTCGCACTGCACTGCACGCACGTGTGACCAATTACTTGATTGGGCTGCGGGTAGTGGAACGCATTCTTGCTGTGCATAATGCATCCATTGTCTTGGTTTGTGCGAGAGTGAAAGTGAAAGCCAGGGCAATAGTCGGTTGTTGTGCTCGTTGGAGTGCTGTGTTCCGGTGTTTGCTACGGCGTCGGATCATCACAGCTGCCTGGAAGGGAGGGCGCCGAGTTCACAGTCGCCTTGCCGGCAAGACTGCCCGGCAGATGCGACGGAATGAAAGATTATCTCCTGTCTCGTGGGGATCTGGCCGGATGGATCCTTTCACAGGTCGTGCTCCCTGGCGGAGTGGAGGGCCTGGGGTTTTGGATAGTTCGATCCATCGGACGGTGTTGAAAAGAGTGACAGTGTTGCACTCAGCTGCCCTGATCGGCACGAGAGCGATTGCACGCATGATTTTACACTTTTTGAGTTCCGGTGCTCCGAGACTGTGCCCTGATCAAGCGGTCGGTTAATGCATTGCGTAAACACATTGTGGGTTCGTCCGATGGTTCGCGACTGTGCAGTCAACCCCACGTCGCAGCTGCAACGAAAACAATGTGTTTGGCTGCTCGGCTGCTCAGTGACTGCTCGAAC